CCAGGGAGAGGGGCGGCATGGGGTGGGGATCCAAGCGCCTCCAAGTTTGGCCTGCAGGGGGGGGTTGGCCTCGGAGCGACCGAGCTGATGCGGGGAGGGGTCGGAGCGCATAGCACAAGGGCACCCTTGGCTTGGTGGGGGCGGCCTGCCAGTCGGGCTCGAATGCCTCTCGCCGTCTTGGGCCTCCGCGGAGGCCCTCGTCGCCGCGGCCAGATTCGCCTTGGAATCCTTGTGGGGATGCACCGAGAAAGAGGTCTGGCGAGCACAGGGGTTCTTGGATCTCTCGGTTCCGCCACTCCATTCCCCCCTGGCTCACCGCCTATCCGTCGCCCTTCTCCCTCGATCCTGCTCCCTCCTCCTCAGCATCATCCTCATCTGCCTCAGGAAACCACCGAACAACCCACGAAGAATCCCAGTGGACCTCCGAGAAGGCACTGAAATCGCCGAAGAACCTCAGAGAAAGCGCCATCCAGCCTCTCCGGTGCCCGAAGGCATCGCCGATGCACTGGACGCGGCGCGACCTTCCGACCCCAACTCTGGCCCTCTTTGGGGAGCCCTGGAGTCGACAACCGCGACGACCCAGGCAGACGTCGCGATGCTGTCGCATCGTGGCTCCCCAGAGGTCTGGACCCCTCCCCAGGGACGGGCTTTCCATCTCGCGTCGGGCTTGCACGGACCCGGAGCCCGACGAGGCCCTCGAGAGGCTGACAGCGGCCAAACACATCCCGTCGTGCCCTCTCGCGATGCGACCCGATCCCCAATCTGCGAGGCGGGGATTGAGCGGGCGGTGGGTATGGATATATGTTGGCCCATGGGGCCCCGAAAATACAGATGTATACAGTTACGCATACATGCATATATATATATGTGTATGTATACATATATATATATATATGAGCACACACGTATACATAATGAAGCACACTTTGATATGCATTCATCACATGTACAAACACATATATATATATATATGTAGGCATATACATATACATATACATATACATATACGTAGACACACATATATATGTATATATGTGTGTTCACGTACATATAAGTATGCACGCATATATGTTTATGCATTTACAAATACATATACATATACAGTTGCGCCGACAGCTATAGACACATACACAGTTCACAAACATATGCATATGCTTCTGCATATACGTAAACATACACATACACATATGCATATGCGTAAACATATACACATGATATTCATGTACATGTATATAAATATAGACATGCACAGACATGCACATACACACATACACATGCCTAAACATATGCATATACAAATAAATATACATACGCATAAACATATGCATATACACAGGTGCATAAACATATTTGCATGCGCATTTGCATATACACATACAGATACAGACACATGCACGTACGTATACATGTACATATGTACATGATGCATGTGAATATACATATCCCGATACAAATACCGAAATATCGATCTACATCTATTCATAATCCAATACATATATACACAAATACATATACACATACAAATATCTGTACACATACACATGCACATACATATACGTATAAACATACATATATATAGACACCTTACACATTCATGTCATTATACATATACCGATACAGATACACAAATATATACATATACATATACCCATTCATGTATATATATATATACAAATACATGTTCATGCACATGTACATATGCATGTCCACCATATCCACATTCACATCCATGCCCATATCCATTCCCATATCCGTGTCCATACCCATATCCGTATCCACCGCCTGTAGCGGTCCGCGAAGATCGATCCCCCAGGCGGCGGTCATGGATAATTCCCCGCCACTGAGATCCGACGTAGAATAAGAAAACATCGTAAACAATCACGCCCAGAGCCCTAGACACCATCCCTCTGCGCCATGATTCGATCCGGATCCATCTGCAAGCGTCCTGGGGCCGGCACAAAGAGGTAACCACGCCAGGCTCGAAGAAATGGAAGCGCCAGGATCTCAGCGGATCCCCCGATGAGCATCGTTTAACCGATCCCTGTCCCCACTGGCATGACGTGGGCCCCTGGCCTACTTACCCCCCCTATATGGGGATGGATGCTATTCCCTCCAGGTTTCGAGGGGTATGTCTCCAACTGCGATGGTGGGATGGTGGGGCTCGAGATGGGGATGGGGATGGGAATATGGATCGGTTGAACTAGAAGAAGAAAAAACCACATATACATAAAATTTTGGCGCTCCGCGCGGATTTCTTGGATCCGCGCCGGACCCCACGGCGCGGAGCGCGCCAGGGGCGGAGGCGCCGCCAGGGGGGCCCAGGCGCGGATCCAAGAAACCCGCGCGGAGCGCCAAAAGTTTATGTTTACGTGTTTTTCTTCGTCGATGAGCGATACTGAACCCCTCCCCAGGCGGAAGGGTCTCGGCCTGCTTCTTCGCCAGCACGGTGCTCTTCTCCATGACCTTCAGCACCAGTGGCGGAGAGGCACCGTGGGGCCTCCTCCGCGGCGCAAGGGACGGGGCCGCCCCCGCGGCCCGCAGTCGTAAGTCGGGCGTGCCCCTCTACAGGGGGGACATTCCAAAATAGGTGTGTATACATATATATATATATAAATAAATAAATAAATAAATAAAAATGGGGGGGGGACGATTGTATGTTTGAACATGTTTGGAATATGTTTGAAGAACGTCTTCTATTTCTGGTCCAAAATCCGCCTGTGGGGGGACATGCCCGACCCAAGCCCAGTCCGCCCCCGCCCCCATCTCGGGGGGGGGGGAGCGAAGTGGTATTTCTAATGGATATCCAGGGAAGTTTCTAAAACACTGGATTTCTAGTGCATAAGATTTGCAGTACACAGGGGCGTAGACCAGGAAGAATGGCATCTCGCGAGCGCGCGCCAGAATGCATATGGTCACACAAAACGTGCTGGCTGACTAGGCAACAGCATCTCTCGCGCGCGCAAATCATGCATTGAAAACATCCCTGTACCCAAGATTGATGTGTCCGTCGAATCTACGTATTCTTAAAAGACTATACGAAAAAATCTGGGGCAAGTAAATTCTGGAGTCGATCCCCCACACGAAGGGCAGGATAGCAAAGGGTAGGGTAGAGAATCAACTCACGTAGCTGGTCTTCCTGGCGGCTCTTGGCGCCGGGAGGCTTCCGTTTATCGAAGATTGGGCCCGGCGGCGGGGTGGAAACCAGCGGCATGCAGCAGATTTCGTGACCCCTCCCTTTCCTTATCCTACCCTTTCGTCCAGCCCGATCCTCACTTCCAACTCCTCCATCTTCTCCTCCTCTTCTTCTAACCGTCAACGCCTTCAACTCATGATGCGAAAGGGCAGCATATGTGAAGGGAAGGAGCGCCCTAAGGCGTCCGAGCCGCCGCCGTACAACATGGGCGCGCGAGGCTGAGCTTGGGGTGGCTCAGGCCACGACAGCCCCTTCGTAAGGCTGCTGTGGTAGTACGGCTGTGACCTCTGGACATCGTCCTAGTCGTCCCATTCCAACTCCGAACAACTTCAACTCGTGATCGGATCTCAACTCTGGCTCAGCCAGATCCGTTTGATGTTGACATGCTTCGAGGTGGGCGCACTGTGGTCTAAAGGAGCCTCCAAAGACTCCTGTTTTGGGAGGCGCGATGCCCCAGCTCGTAGCAGACAGCCACGCCCATGTGCTCCGCCCACGGTGCCGCCGACCCAGCTCGACGCCTTCGATCCGTGTTGTTAGACAAAAGCAGCAACGCGCCGACGTCGTTTCTCTGCGTTCGGCTGGGGTCGCGTGTTGATAACGTCAGCTCTCGTGGCAGCGCCAGCAGGTGCGATCATGGAAGGAAGATCCACACGACGTCATCGAGGCGCGGTCCAGCTGCTGGCAAGTGGCGCACGGCGCCCGAGGGAAGGCTACACGGCAGAGCTGTGCATGGCCGTGGCTCAGAGTCGCCATGAGTGCCTCTCTCCACCGTCCGGGGCGTGCGCGATCCCGACGACCTGGGCCTCAACGAGTTGCCGCGCGAGCTTGACTGCTTCCTGCAGGGAGCGCTAGACCCGCACATAGAATCCTCGGAGGAATCGGACCGAAACGTTCCTGGTGCTCACAACTCAAACAGGCCCAGGGGCACCCGGCGTAACAGACCGAGCCCTCTTCCCAAGTAACCCCCGCCGCCTGCGGCCCCTGCACAGCTTACGTGCTCGAATAGTCTTGGGCGCGAGGATGGTCATAGAACTCGGGGGAGGATTTGCCACGCCCCGCCCGGCACCCTGAGCCAAGGGCGGGAGGCCGAAGTTGACTCCTACTCGCAGGAGGAAAATCTGGGGGCTCTTGAGGCTTCGTGACCCCCCTGGGCCTGCACCCTACAACTGCTGCTGCTGCTGCTGCTGTTGCTGCTGCTGCTGCTGCTGCTGCTGCTCCTGCTCCTGCTCCTCCTCCTCATCATCATCATCCTCCTTCTCCTCCTCCTCCTCGTCCTCCTCCTCATTCTCTTCCTCCTCCTCCTCCTCCTCCTCCTCCTCCTCTTCCTCCTCCTCATCCTCCTCCTCCTACTCCTCCTCCTCCTCCTCGTCCTCCTTTTCCTCCTCCTGCTCTTCCTGTTCCTCCTCCTCCTCCTCCTCCTTCTCCTCCTCCGTCCCTTTTCCATACAAATAACTCGTCCCTGTCGCACCCCGAAACGTGTCGGTAGGGCGGGTCGGGCGTCTCGTCTGAGAACCCCTCACCATTTATCATCCTGAAGCCTGAACTTTGCAGCAGCTTCAAGGACGGAGTGCAGTTGGCTTTCAGATTCGGCTTTCGCCTTAGCAGCGTGTACCTTCGTCTCAAAAGTTCGCAGCTGCTTCAAGGATGGAGGCGGCCCGTTTTCAAAGTGCTAGTCTCTCATTAGCTCCGCACACATCCGTCTTAAAGCATGCAACAGTTTCTAAGGTGGAAGGCGGCTGTTTTTCAAAATCTGGCTCTGGCATTAGCACCACGGACAGTCGTCTTGAAAGTTTGTAGCATTTTAAAGGATTCGCTTGGGTGAAGTCCTAGAAACGGTGTACTGGCACGATTTAGCGCTGCCAGGACGCAACAGTCACGTTCATTCGCTGCGTTGAAGTCCCAGGATGGGAACTCCGGCATGACGTAGGATTGCCAGGACGAACAAGTCACGTTGATTCGAGGCGTTGAAGGCCCAGGAATGGTGTTGTGGAACGATTGAAGATTCTCAGACGTTTCTCTTCCAATAGCGCACGTCCCGCAATGAACATACATTGTAGGGACCTGTGAAAAAAAGAACCTTGGAGGGCGTATTGCAACATCGTTGGGGCGTCTTTGACTTACACTGGTCCTCATCCTCCTCCTGCATATCCCTCCGCTTCAGCATCAGAATCCACCTCCTCCTCCTCCTCCTCCTCCTCCTCCTCCTCCTCCTCCTCCTCCTCCTCCTCCTCCTTCCCCTCCTCCTCCTGCTGCTCCTCCTCTTGCTCCTCTTCCTCTTCCTTCTCCTCCTCGTCCTCCTGTCTCTGCCTCCTCCCTCTTCCTCCCTCCTTCTCCTGCTCCTGTTCCTCCTCCTCCTCATCATCATCCTCCTCCTTCTCTTCCTCTGCCTCCTGGTCGTCCTCCTCCTCCTTCTCCTCCTCCTCCTCATCCTCCGCCTCCTCCTCTCCTCCTGCTTTCTTCCTCCTCTCCTCCTCCCCCTCCTCCTCCTCCTCTTCCTCCTCCTCCTCCTCCTCCTCTTCCTCCTCCTCGTCCCCTCTTCCTCCTCCTCCTCCTCCAACTCCTCTTCCTCTTCTTCCTGGTCGTCGTCGTCGTCGTCATCATGACCGTCAGCAGCAACATCCTCCTCGTCTCCTCCTCCTCCTCATCATCCTCCTCCTCCTCGTCCTCCTCCTCCTCGTCCTCCTCTCCTCCTCCTCCTCCTCCTCTCCTCATCATCATCATCATCATCATCATCATCATCATCATCATCAGCAGCAGCAGCATCATCATCATCGTCATCCTCCTCCTCCTCCTCCTCGTCCTCCTCCTCCTCATCATCATTATCATCAGCATCATCATCATCATCGTCATCATCATCATCAGAATCAGCAGCATAATCAGCATCATCATCATCATCATCATCATCATCATCATCATCATCATCATCATCATCAGTATCATCATATGCACAATCATCATTATCAGCATCAGCAGCATCATCATCATCAGCACCATCAGCAGCAGCATCATCAGCATCATCAGCAACACCAGCATCATCATCATCAGCATCAGCAGCACCATCATCATCGTCATCATCATCAGCATCGGCATCATCGTCATCATTATCAGCAGCAGCATCAGCATCATCAGCAGCATCACCAGCAGCAGCATCATCAGCATCATCATCAGCATCATCAGCATCGTCAGCAGCATCAGCATCATCATCATCATCATCATCAGCATCAGCAGCATCATCATCGCCATCATCCGCAGCAGCACCATCATCCTCATCATCATCAGCATCGTCATCATCATCCTCAGCATCAGCATCAGCATCAGCATCAGCATCCCCAGCAGCAGCATCGTCATCAGCATCATCGTCAGCATCGTCATCATCAGCAGCAGCAGCAGCAGCATCAGCACCACCGTCAGCATCAGCATCATCATCATCAGCATCATCATCATCATCGTCAGCAGCAGCATCGTCAGCATCATCAGAATCATCACCAGCAGCAGCAGCCTCATCATCACCATCATCGTCGAAAGCAGCATCATCACCACCACCACCACCATCATCACCATCATCATCATCATCAACAACAACATCGCCATCATCATCATCATCAGCAGCAGCATCATCATCATCATCAGCATCATCATCAGCATCATCATCAGCAGCATCATCGTCATCATCCTCCTCATCCTCATCCTCATCGTCATCATCAGCATCATCAGCATCATCAACACCACCACCGTCATCATCAGGAGCAGCAGCGGCAGCAGCATCCTCATCCTCCTCCTCATCATCATCCTCCGCATCGTCAGCATCAGGATAATGATCAACATCATCATCATCAGCAGCAGCATCAGCGTCATCCTCATCCACATCCTCATCATCAACATGTGATTTGCATCATCGTCACCAACATCATCATCATCATCAGCAGCAGCATCAGAATCATCATCATCAGCATTATCACCATCATCATCGTCACTATCATCATCAGCATCATCATATCCACCATCAACAATATCAACAACAACAACATCGTCATCATCATCAGCATAAACAACATGATAACCATCATCAGCATCAACATAAACATCAGCATCATCATCACCATTAATACCATCATCATCAGCAGCATCATCATCACAAGCATTATCAGAATCATCAATATCAGCATCAACATCAGCAGAATAATCCTGATCATCATCACCTTCGTCGTCGTCGCCATCATCGTCACCGCCATCATCAGCATCATCAGCATCATCATCATCGGCATCATCATCATCATCGCCATCACCGTCAGCATCGTCATCAGCAT